ATTTTTTGAAGTGTTAGTATTTCTCCAATACCACAAGGGACTTTTTCGAGACTCTGGCAATTGTGAAGTGGGTTCCCTCGGCCTTCCAATCCTCCAGATTATTTTCTTCAAGTAGCAGAAATTTTAGTTGAAGAAATTCTCCTTCTTTTGGTTCCCAAACTGCTCCGCTGAAGGCTTTGCGTTTCAGTTTTAGCACTTGAAGTTTGGGCAATGAACCAACGATCGTCATATCTTCCCAAGGAACGAAACAACCCCTTAAAGTTAACTTTTCGAGTGAAGGCGGGAAAATGATCTTCTTCAAGAAAGTTTGGTACGGCCAACTAAAGATGCATTTCAATGCTGCAAGATTTTTTAGAAGCACAAGATTATTGAGATAGTCTGACCGATCCTCCCTTATATCATCATATAAGATCCCCAATTTCTTTAGATTCGGAATTCTTCGGAGGATGTCCTCCGCAAATTTAAAATTAATCACCGTGGAAAGCGATTGAAGGTCTTGTAGAACAATAAGAGACTTTTCACCCTCAACTCCTGCAACGGGAGGATCAGGCAAAATCACCGGGTCTAAATGCACGTGTCTCAATTGGGGCATTTTCCATATTACCGATGGTAGAAAAAATGACGACTCCATACAAGAAAGAATCAAGGTTTGTAGATTTCTAAGCATGTACATTGATGGAGGTAACTCCCTAGTTCCACTCAAACAAGCAAGGTACCGCAAGTTAAGTAGTGCTCCTGGGAAATCAAAGCTATTTGCATTCACTGTATCCAATACTCTGAGTAGAAAAGAGTCTAGAAATTCTACTGAAAGAGAGAGCGTGGGATCAAAATTTAGAACAGTTCGGACGGTTGAAATTGATAGACTATCAGCATGACGAAGATTAGTTTGTGTATTTGGATGAATACTTACCCTACGCAAGCTGACAATTTTTTCTGGAAGACTCGTGGTATAGATATGACTCGTAGTAATCCCTGTCGGAACATCACGGAGACTCCTGTCAGTGACATGAAAAAAGCTCTCCTTCTTAGCTTCTCTCACACAAAACTCGTGTAAGAGATCGTGGATCTTGCATTTCTTAATTTTGCCTCTAGAACTCCGCTTAGAAACTGAAATAAGGCTTCTCTCAACAAGATTCAGTAAATACTCTTCTGCCACATCTTCCAAGCTTTTGCTAGTCATGACTGGTTGTATGAATCCCTCTGCAATCCATAACTTGACAAGTTTGGATGCAAGGATCTCATAATCCTCCGGGAAAATTCCCATATAGAGAAAGCATACTCTCAGATGATGAGGCAGATTGTTATAACTTAAATACAATATCTTTGATGACTGATCGTCATGTGAAGTTATAACCGAAGTTAAATTCTTCGCAACATATTCCCAGTAACTTTGTGTTTGGGTGCACTTCGAGAGAAGCCCTCCAATCAAAACTATTGCAAGTGGAAGTCCTCCACATTTTTTGACAATCTCGGTC